ACTCTTTCACCAATTGAAATGCTAATCCAAGCACTGAAAATAACCAAAAGTTATTATAACTATCCACAGTTAGCACTTAGGTACAGATATGGTATAACAAAGCACCTCTCTCTCCAATAACTTCTGCTGTCTAATATGTGCCGACACATTGCTCTTCTCCTTCCTTTGGTTGAGTCCTTCAGCCTGGAAGGCAACACAAATGAGCGCCATTAAATTCAATCCCCCTTTCCACTATTAAAATCTCAAAGGAGCCGCACTAACGTACAAACTGAACACTAACCAGCCCGTCAGCGGACATGGTCCGCCTCATGGGAGACATCAAGACGTCTTTTGCTGGAGACCCCAGGTCGGCAGCTGAAAATAAAACATTTTTTTATATACAAAATACATTTGAATATGTACAAATACAGAATGACAGTAGGTGTGCCCCATTTCCAGGACCAACCCATCTCGCGGTGCCGGGCGGCGTATCAACGCACCCTTGGCCGCCCTGAAGCGCTCCGCTTTGCGGAAGGAGACGGCGCCCTTCACTTCGCCGGTTTTCACCTCGTAGGATCCCGGCGGCGGGGCGCATCCTGCAAAAGTGACAGCTCGATAGCAGCGTCCACGGCCGACCGTAAGCCGGTCAGCACCGACGGCCGCGTCGCTGCGGCATTGCGAACACGTATTTACCTTAAAATAAAGCTGAAATGAGCAGCGAGTGACACTTACCGATGTGCTCATTAAATCTCTTTATTGGAGCTCTCGAAAAAGACATTGTAATTTAGGAGAAGCTTTTACGTCCTGAGTGACAACGTCCAAAGGCTCGCTAGCCCGCTGGTTAATGCTAAAGAAGATATTAAACGACCAACATCCAGAAGAATATGGCCCCGCTGCAAATTTTAAACTAACGTCATAACCAATGAGTGAAACTTCCGACAGACCAATCAAAACACGGACCAATGAGCGGCATGCATTTCGGGAATTGACGCCTTCGTTTGAAAGGCTTCGTAACTCGATCCACCAATCAGCAAGAAGAACGTAAAAGGGCAACATTTGAAAATCTGAAGTCATAGTACTCCGTTTAAAATCCAAAATATTTACGATTCACTCCCGAATAATTAATTATTTTTTTAAATAGCGCGTTGTTTAACTCTCGAAAAATCACCTGTATGAATTGTTGACACTGTGGCTTACACTTTCGGGTGTGTGTGTGTGTTTTCTTTGATCAATACGTGTGTAGTTAGTATGGTCTCCTTATGTTGCGCGGGTTTGCTTCCACAATCAAAATACATTAGATCAGTTGAATTTGTGTCTGAATAACCTCCGGGTGACCCTGTGCTGGGGTACAAAGAGTTATTGAAAACAGAAGGTAAGACAGAACGCCAGGGCCCTGGATTTCCTCTGATGTAATGAGTTAAGTTCTGAAGATACCAAGGGTATTTGAAATAGTAATTAAAAATAACCCTCAAAAAGTCGTAATTATTATTTTTTATTTAAAATACAATATTTAAACTCCCTCACTGGATCAGTTGTTATTTTTTCAACTCCAGAACATTATGACTTGTGTACAATATCATGAACAAAACCATATGTCACAAACAGTGTCAGGACAACAACAGATTGCACCTGTCATGCTAAGTTCTTCAAAGTTATTATTATATATTTTTATTTGTATCACTTTCTGCTTCTTTAAGTAACAATAGCGCTTTTTAGGAACAGAAGTATACCCATTTTAATAAATAATCTAAGGAATGATGAAAAAAAAAACTTTGGAAAAATCACTGTAAAAACAGTACATATTTCTAATGACCACTAACAAAATAGGTAAAATTAGGAGGAAAAAATAATAATTTCACAACAGCTGCCATGCATTTAATTTCAATTCCTGTCAGCTTGTTGAAGCATAGTTTCTTTGGAACATTATATTAAAAATATCCATGTGTTTTGGTAACACCGCCAAAATAAACAATAAATGCTTAATACTGATATACCTTTTAATAAAAAAAAAAAAGTAAAACAAGTTATCTGCATAATACTCTGTGAAATGGACAGAATGGTAGCACTAATCACTCTTTAGTTTAATTAAGTTATATCTAATGTGCTCAGCTGCTAACACCAGATATTTCTGTGTATTTTATTACTGATATGCGAGTTACATTTTTATCTGTCGGGAAACTCTCTCGGAAATGAGAGGCTTAACATTGACAATATTTTGTCACTGTAAAAACATATAAAAACTGTTTACGAGCAAAGTTAAGGGCTTGTCTAGAAAAGGATGACAGTTCTTGCACAAATCAGAAAATAGGCCACAGTGGACGTACAGTAAATAAACTATATTGAGAAAGAAATACTTTGATGCCTCAGCTCTTGGGAAAATTCCTGTGAAATTTACAACAACAATTACAATCACAAGAAATCCAAAAAACTGGAATAATTTAAAGCGGCAGACCGAAAATAGAATTTCAGTTATTCCTTTCTATCATTTCATATTTAGATATTTTAAATCAGATTTAATGTATTTTTTATAAAAGAAATCTCTATTGTAAATACAGTAAATATAAATAACATCTATTTTCTTTTCTGTAAGCATACATATTGATTACTGGATTTATTATATATGTACCAGTTGCTTTCATTAAATAAAATATTACATTTATGTCCCAGTTGTGTCATTCCAAAGAAAATGCATGTTGCTTCTATTGGTGGAAGAACAAAAACAAGTAGAACTTGAAGTTTAAAGCGAGGGGGGAGGCTGGTCAGAGAGAGAAATCAGGGGGTGTAACAGCTGGAGTGGCGAGAGAGGAGTGGGGGGGGGATCCTTATATAATCACTGGATAACCTACATAATTCAATATATAATTTTTGTATATAATCTTTAGTTTTATAACCTCAAATGTTATTTCAGGTCTCTGATAAAGGACATCATCTGAATTATTCAAGTACAACATTCTGTTGAGCTGAAAGTTTCTTTGCACAAAAGGGTCTAAATGAAAGAGAGAACACTGGTTCGGGGTGGTGACAGCACCTCACACTGGGAGAAGTTTCCTTTCTTAATGTCCCACATATGTTCTGTAAAACCATAAAGAAAACACTTTTCATATTTACAAAAAAAGTCATTTTAAACAAGCCAACACAGAAGGACAAATGTAATCCAGTGTCTGCAACATTACCAAAAAATATATTAAGCAACCAAATCAATCCATATATTTTAAAATTAGCTGTCTTACTCTTATATAATCTAATCTGTTTTTTTTTTGTTTTTTTTGAAAATTCCATTAATCAGCTCATGGGGTTTTTCAGCTCATGTTTGGTTTTATATGCAAAGGTGTAAACCATTTTTACGCATTTTTTGCATGGTCACAAAACGGACCATTCCCCCATTCCCTGAAGAACACAAGACTGGACTTCTCACTTAAGGACAGGGATGCAAGCCTGCATCAACCCCTCCAAAACAGAAAGGCGCCAAAACCTCTGAAACTGGGCAGACAGAATGTTCTGATCCAGTGTAGGTACAGTGTAGGTGATGGGCGGGGAAGCTCGGGACTGGGAAGGGGGTGGGGCTTAACAGGTGGTAGCCAGGGATTGGTGTATAGGGGGCTGGAAGCAGCGGACATGCTCCACTGTCGAACTGTCCGTCTCAACAGCCTTCATGTACTTGTTGAGGATGGCAAAAATCTCGTTGTTCAGAATCTGGTACTTTCTGATGCGGTCTGCCATCTTCTTCAGGGGCTGGAGACAGAGAAAGAGAGAAAAGCCATGTTTGCTACTCCTTTTGTTAAAGTTTCAAGAAAAACACATTAAATGAAGGATAAACAAAGACAATCAGGCTTAAAAAAGGGCAAGATGACTGGCACAGCACAGACCTAGATGTTACACTTATTAAACCATGAGAAACTTACACAGCTTTCATCTGTTTATCCTGAACCGGACTGAGAAACAACGTACGCAAAATCACATTGATACATCCCATAAACTATCAATTATTGCTATATCGGGTTACACTGGTAAAATTCCCCCAGAACTATAGAGCTGATTCTGTCCTCATTACATGTTTTCTAGATTCATGAAATATATATAGTAGACAGCCCTGATGTTCTGTCCCCTTCCTGGGTCCTGTGGACTCCCCATGGATACTGTGCTGTCCACAGATATCCAGCCAGGCAACCTGCTGTTTCCAAATTAACCTTAGCCTATGACTGCGTGTATGTGTGTGTGTACCCTTCCTGTGCTCCCCGTCCGGGGGGTTCCCCTGACTAGTTTTCTGGAATGACAGAGACTGCCTCCATACTCCTTTTGACTCCTTCTTCTAAGTGGTAATGTAAAATCGCTGGACAAATGGATTTGTAAGCACTACACATAGAGATAACAGACAAATAAAATTATCCACAATATTTGAACAGTCTTGTTCCAGTTCTGTTTCTAGCTCCCAAATCTTACCCAATAGCATCAGACTTTTCCACACACTTATGCTTCACTCAGATAACCAGCTTAAAACTGGTCACATAGCAAGATCACCTACATCATATCAGTCCAAATTCCAGTACTCAGGCAGACTGAGACTCCACTGACTACCCAATGGCACAGATGGTCCAGGATTAGTCTGCGAGTGAGTGCGAGACTGTTTGGATGATTTGCAAATTAACTATTCTGTCTGATTTTTCAATACCTATATGGGGTCAGTAGGTGGAGCAGTGGTTAAGGATCTGAACTTGGAACCAAAAAGCTGCTGTTTTCTGTGCCACAAGGCTATCAGCCTTGGAAGGTTAGGTGGAGGCTGACTGCACCCACCACGTTCTTGATGATCTCGTCCTTGCCGTCCTGCCTCTGCACCTTCAGCAGGTGGTAGCAGAAGTCAAAGAGGTCAAAGCGCCGCTGCTGTCCAAGCAGCACCACGATGGAGCAGCCGGCCCAGTTCAGCCCGTCCCCAAAACACTGCCTGTGGGGACACAAAACGTGGCCGTGTGACGGACAAGGGCAGCATGGAGCTCCCTGAAAGGAGGTGCGTGTGCGGCAGGACACCTACTCCGCCGTGAACTCGTTGGTGCCCACGGGGATGCAGTAGACGAACTGCATGGCGCTCCAGAGGCGGTGGAACTCAAGGCACTCGTCCACGTGCATGACGCCGTTGGTGGGGGGGGGGCCGCGCCACACGGCGTCCTGTAGGTAGCTGCGCACGCGGGTCAGGATCACCTCGAACATGGAGAGGCCGCAGCAGAGGCGCTCTTTGGTGAGAAGGTCCCCCTCGCGGGCGATGGCGATTTGCTGGGGGAGAGGCAGCAACAGCAATATTAATAATAATAATAACGATAATAATAATGCCCTGTGACCGTGACCAGAACAAGAGGCGAGAAGACTGATAGTTGGATAACAACAACAGCAACAAAACAACAACAATAATATGAATTTTTATTATTATAACAATAACAACACAATAATAACAACATAGTAATAATAACGTGTCAATAATTCTGTGGACATAAAAAACTGCGAGGCTCCACGCTAATTTCAGGGCACGAAAGGTAAAGCAGCTGACTTTTTGGTTTCTCAGCAAACGAGAAAAACATCAGAAATGCGTATGTGATCTCAAAGTGGATCCATAGAGACAAGCCACAAATAACCACAGCGGATTTATGGAATACCAGCAGCTCCCGACCGCACCATCCCCCGCCTCGTGTGACATTACCAGACAAAACAAGTTTCACGGAGAGGATGTTGGGTTTATGACAGGAAGAAGACTTTCTGCTTTTCAGGAAGATCAGCTGAAAGTGATACATTATTAGGGAAGTGTGCCAAGACATGTGACGGGGGGGCATCAGCCACAAATCTCTGCAATTATTTGGTCCTTTTGTTGTTAACTGCCAAGCTGAAATAGTGCAGAGGACAACAAGGGCACCAAATTACCCAGCATCCTCCATCTTAAAGCCATTACCCTGAGAACCTCACAGGATGCCTGGAGTCAGCCTAGCCCCAGGCAGTGCATGGCACATGGCTCAGGACACCCCCACACCCCCGACAACACGCTCACACGCTACAGGGAACCTGGAGAGGAACAGGCAACACATGTAAACCCCACAGATGCACTGTGGGGGTGGGATGCACACCCACCACCCTAGAGGGGTGAGGCAGCACTGCAGGCAACCCATAACCCCCCAGGAAACGCAAACAGTCACAAGGGTCCGTTGTGCAAGTGCAGTGGGGGGGGGCCCTTAGCATAAAACAAGGGGTATTGGGGGGGCAAACACACTACTAGTTCAGGGTCTTTGATGAGGGCTTGATTCCTGTGTAAGAATTAACAACGTGAGCACACTAATGAAGGCAGAGAGAGACTCACCTGTGGGGTTCCCAGCCTCTCGATCAGAGGTACCAAATGAAGGGGGGCGTATTTTGCCTCCAGCCTCTTCATCCTCACCTCCAGACGCTCCCCCTCTGCGCAGAGACGAGAAGAGTTCAGGATTTATCGATGCTGGCGAGCCAGAGAAATGAGTCGCAGACACAGAAGCCACTAGGGATGTAAAGATTCTCTCCAAATCCATGGTTTGTTTCTGACCTCTAGTTTCCAGCAACAGCTCAACTCGTACCTCGTTTTTTTTGGGGGGGAGTGGGGGGTCGGGGTTTTGTTTACGTTTCGTGCGCCGCTGAGATCAGTGTCAGGATGTCTTCAGATATGCGCTTGAAGTGCTGCAGCTGAAGAATTTTCTTGAAAAATGCCAAGTTGTGTGTGTTTTGTCTACAACACAACGCCAATCATATACTCCACTGGATAGCTACATGCCCCCACCTGAATGTGCCCGGGGGGTCCGGAACCTCACGGTTATTATCCATCTTGAACTGCGACACGACATTGTGAATGCTTGTATTGCGGTGTTGGTCTGTTGCTGAATCGTTACACAATTAACAGCCACAATCAGCAGAGAGCGAAACCAGGGTCTTCCAGGACACAACCAAGGGTGTCGACTTTGGTATGGATGGTGGGGACATGTTCCTACCCATACTGTGGAAGTACTGTGTGTGTTTGGGGGGGCGGCGGAGGGTTCAGGGCTGAATCTATGCCCTTGATCAAAACATCATGCAGGAGTTCTGTCACAATAAAAAATAATGTATACAAAGGATACTTACTTATTCTACACTCTGTAATTCATGTAACAATATACAAATGGCCAGCCACTGGTCATCTACCCACCAGATAGATTCACCCCAGTTTACTCCCAGCAAAAGTGCTGAAATACGAAGGACAGCGTTACCTTTAATGTAGACCCTGGGCAGGATGTTCTGAAAGGGTGCGGCGTGCAGTAAGTCACACACTTCTTCCTGGGACTGGTTCAGACCACAAGGGGAGAGTATAAGGTGACAGCAGGGATGACCTCTGTGAGAGGTCACTCTCACACACATCCACGGTGCCAGGATGTAACTGGACCCGTCTGTAGAGCCCTGCCACTTCATGTTACTCCCAATTCATATTCACTTCTGGCCATGCAAACATTCTGCTTGAATCTGGGTTATAAAATATGGAATTTAAAGCCTTAGTCACTTCTCTGAACACACAGATCCAGCTTTTAGTATTACTTTCCCATATAAATTATTGAAATGATATTGAATTGAATAGAGAATTGAATAATGCTTTTTAAAAGTGGACAAAACATGTATATTTTTAACCCCCAAATATTGGAGGTGAAAAGTTACAAAGGGCTTCCAGCAGATACCAGTTACACACACACACACACAGACACACACACACGCACACACACACATGTAGTGTAGTAGGGTAAACATATCCTTATGGGGACCGCTCATTCATTTCAATGGGAAAAATGCTAACGCTAACTATGACAACCTTAACCCCTACCCTGCCCTAACCATAACCATAAGTAACCAAACAAAATACAAGAGTTTTTGCATTTTTAATTTTTTCATAGCAGTCATCGATTTTTCTAAAATAGAAATACAGATATTTATCACGTTATGGGGACATTATGTCCCCATAAGGATAGGTAAACCCACTCACACACACAGACACACACACGCACACACACGTTATACAGTACATAGCTGTATTCCACTGACTCCCAGCTTACTGTCAGTGATGGTTTCTAACCCTAAACCCCAAAATGTCAGAACCGATAAAAAATTATAAATATCTTTGTTCTTCTAGATGAAACCAAACCACGTTGTGAAGGGAGGCATTGGGTCTTTATTATCTTGGAGCAACGGTCCTCCCAGGAAGATAGTCAGAGCTCAGCACATGCACGGATGATGGAGGCTCACCATGCAAACAAATGGCCAAACACACCCACACACAAATATCTGCATATCACTACAAGCAGGGAAAGGGCGTTTTGCATAAATAAATGAAAAGATCACAAAAGGACAAAACATGTCAGCAAAACGCTACAGCACACTGATGCTAAGTCAGCATAGCATAGTCCTTAGTGCCATGGAAACGAAGAACATCCATTTTCCATGTCCGATGGCATGTCATCATATTGCCTTCTTCATTTAAATGCTATGAGATCAGATAAAAATTCCATTACTGAAGCAAACACTTGTGGATCATGCTCAGTATGGCTACCAACTCAACATTTTTGTCAAGAAGCCAAAGACTTTCCTTGTTTCCATGGCAGCCCTTAAAGACAGCTGTGAAAAAATGATCCAGGAACCAGCAACTGAAATTAGTTCAAGGCGATCATGTTTTGCTCCTGTTTCTACAGAAATGTCCTATTCTCTTACCACCTGTAGCAGTTGGCAGCATGTAATGAGAAAGAGGTCATGTTTCAGGGCAAACCTTGGTAACTTTACACTCTGATTCTCACACACAAACGATGACGCAACACCTCCAATTCTCCTCCAAGCTTGTGTCAGTCATCTCACAAGTGAAAACTGACAATATGATAATAACAGATGGGACTCTGTGTGAATACATTATCATATATTACCTCTAAATATGCCCGACTATGCAGATAACATTATTAGTATCATGTCATCTATGATACAGAGAGATCAAACGTTGACTTAATGGGTGAGGAATTAATATAATTTAAGTAGCATGATCAGACTGGTGGGGCATGAAACAGTGAAAGGAGAAAAATAGAGAGCATGACTTAGGAAGGAAGACGCCACCTATAGGCAGAAGCTGCCATGGGAACTGGATATGAGGAGAACTGGGACATGAGACCCAGGCGAGGGGCCAGATCTTGCCAAAGGCAATCAGAGGAGATCTTGACTGAGGATCATGGCAGACAGAGGGGAGGGGAGTTCGGTAAAGATGGCCTCTGTAGGCAGGGTTCTGTGCACGGAGATGAACGGAACAATGAAGGAGGGGTAAAGTCAGGCAGATGTCTCACCAGAGCTTGCTCAATCAGCAGACAGAACAGGATGGCATTCCCAACCTCCCTGAGGCTCTGGAACACGTCCGTCTTCAGCTCGGCGTACTCGATGATGTCCTTCAGCTGGTGGTGGAAGAACTCCAGGATGCCTGTGTAGATATGTCACAAGGTAAGCTTTGATCACACTTGGCATGCTCACAAAAGAGGCCAACTTCTCATCAGCCGTGACCTACGTCCCTTCCCACTCAGTCTGACTGGGTAAAGTCAATCTCCAGCATGCCAAAAGGAAACACAGACAGATGGAGGAAATGTGGCAAACAGCCTTACCAGGAGAGCCGTACTCATGGCGAGGAAGCCGGCAGATCTTGGGCATGACCTCAATCAAAGTTTTCACGTACTGCAGAATGGTGCCCTGCAGCTGGGAGATGAGGAAAGAAGGTTTTAACAGAGAGAGAGACATGCAAGGTTTTCCTATATAACACCAGTCAGGTATCAGCATTCATGCACTGGAAGGCAGAGATGCAACATGCAAAAGCACATACCAGGCTCTTCACAATCTTCAACAGTTCCTCCATTACCACGGCGATGCCCTGGTAACCAAGGAGGCGGCAGATGGTCTTGAAGTGAGGAGGGCCAACAAAGTTCCTGTAGGAGCTGTAGATGTGGGTGTAAGCGATGTTCAGTGGCTGTGAAAAGGAAACACAAGAGCCATCAGTTCCTGGCAAGTCAGTCAACAGATTCATGCATTATGGAGTAAGTACACATTTTGTACCTGAAGGGAAGAGAAATATTAATTCTTCTGGAATATTGAGCCATGGAAACTTTATGTTAACGTGCTATTTATAATGAAACGTGTGGATGGATGAGTGTGCGGTGACAGAAGCATCTTGACTACCTATCACAGGCCTAACATTTTCATAAGGCCTACGCACCTTGGACCCGTACAGATAGTACGGCTGGACGTTGGCTGGTTTGTCCCTCTGTGGCTCTTGGGTGAAGGGAATGGCTGTCCGAACAAATCTGGGACAGAATTTGAAATATGCGAATATGTGAAGGACTAGCATTCTATGAAGGGAATATCCCAACCTAATCTGACTCCAGACCACCTCTTACTCTCACATTTTACGTTCACATTTTTATTTATTTAGCAGATGCAAAAAATCCAAAACAACATACAACTGAGAAAGCAGGATCAACTAGTCTCTGAAGCAAGTAGTGTTAAGGGCACTGCTCAAGCCCAACACCGAAATAACTGTGCCGACCATGAGGTTTGAACCAGCAACCCTCCGATCATAGGTAGAGTCACACACAGCCTGTTCTCTCACAAGGATAAGTGGTTAGAAGATGGATGGATCATTGCTAGATTAGGTAACACACACACTGATGGACGCACCTATTGGTAGAGCCATTGTAGCAGTAGTTGGGCAGGAAGTCAAAGTTGAGTTCCCAAAAGACGTGAAGTGTTATCCGGCCATAGGGAGCAGAGACGTTGTGATTGGCCTCACGAAACATAGCGTCAAAACTGTCCAGGGTCATGTGTTTGGACAGGAGCCGATGTGTCAATCGGTTCACCTCTATCAACCACTCCAGCTCCTGTGAAGGTGGGAGAGAGTGGAAGATAAAGACAGGAGGGAACAAAACCTGCTATCAAGAAGCAACAGTGCATTTACACTTCTGACAGGCTGCATCTTATGGAAGTCCCATTGACGTTTCACCTTGCCTAAAACCTGCAACCACTTTAGACCATCTTTAAAAGACACATCACATTCACGAAAGTACAGTACGTCTTCATCTTATATTTACAAAATGTAAAAGTAGTTAAGTTGCTTAACTATGGCTTTTGTGTATCGGAATAAAACTGCACATGGAGTAGGACATTTCAGGTCCAGAAGCTACAAATCCAGACCAAGATTTTGTTTCTACCAACCAGTTTTATACCCTGTGACTGTGACTCAATATGCTCAACTGGTTGGTATAAACAAAATCTTGGTCTGGATTTGTAGCTTCTGGACCTGAAATGCTCAACACTGTGCACACGTCATTACATTTGGGTGGTCACATGACCACGGTTCCCTCACCACTATAGAGGTTAGGTCCTCGCTTTCGAAGCGGCTGATGGCCTGCTCCAGTGACTTGTACATAGCAGCCGAGATCCTCTGAGTAATGAGGCGGTTCAGGTCAATGGAGCGGCCCAGAAGCTGGGGGAGAAGCACAGCGACCCGGATCAGAACCACGATATGGAAATGGGAAGGAAAGCGAAGTAGGCTGTATCTGCAATAGGCTGTATCAGCAATAGGCTGTATCAGCAATAG